TTCTCTTGTTGAACAACAATTTTAGTTTATAAGATTTTTTGCTTTAAAATCCATTTTGACATAGTCAGCAGAAAACACCTTGTAAGTTTATAGCAGCCTTCAACAGCTGAAGCCAGACTGGCAGCACTTTCTTCTAAGGAACTTGTAGTTTAAGGACATGGTCGTCTAAAGACACAAGTAACCTACCCATTTTAAGAGCAGAGGAAGAAAGACAAAGTAGGTTATTACATGAAGAACATTCCACCTACTTGGAATACAACCTCATGCTAAGAATCCGCCTCTTGCAAGAGCAGAAAACACTTGCCATAAGATGATGATGATTGTTGATACCACAGTGAAAATGCTCAGCTTACTGACATCAGTGTTTACACATACAGGTTTGTCACAGAGAGTGGCAAGTTACACCACTCTACCATAGCAGTTCAATACTGAACAGTCTACACGGCATCAGAAAGTGTGACTCATCAATGTCCCTCAGTCACACTGGTTTCCAAAGTGGGAGGCATGGAGCAGGTTGCCAGCAACTGCAAGAGCAGATAGGAATCAATGGTTTGTACACATATATGCATACAAAGTCTCAGTTAAAAAAAATTTCCAGCATCCACCTTTTCAAAGACAGTGCAATTACACAAATGCTCACCACAAAAAAAAGAAAAAAAAAAAGAAAAAAAAAAGACTGTTAATTAGCTCAAAACAAACTAAAAACCCTTCCAGTTTGTTGAATCAGTGCAAACGTCAAATGGTATCAGAAGTGCTAGGGCTCTGACTCACGCTTGCAGAGAAAAAAGCTGCACTGCTTCAGCCCTTCCAGCATCCCACCATCTGCTTCAACCTTCTTCCAGAGCCACTCACCCTGCAACCGAGTTGACAGAAGAAAACATGACGGTGCCTGAGTCAATTCAGTTCAGCTGGCATCTTCACTTAAACCCATGTTCTATGGGAAGTGTAGTTTGCCTGCCTGAACTGAAGTGGCTCAGGTACAGACACGTTCCCTGCTGCTCACCTGCACAGTGAGGTCCAAGCGGGAAGGGAGCTGGCACACAGGGGCAGCATTAACTCACAGCAGCAACACAACCAACCCACTCTGGAACACATGAATTTGTGCATCCATACAAGATTTGCCATTTAACAAGATGTCTGTTTGACAAATCCTACTGTGTTAAATATTTTTAACACAGTTAAAAATAGTAAGTATTTATTTAAATACTTTTTTGCTTTCCTGTAACCTGCAAACACAGTACCCCAAAGGACCATAGGCATAAAGGGTTCTTTCCTCTTCTGAGTGTGTATACCCAGCTGAATAAGTGCAGCGAGTATGAAGTGCATTAGTTCTGCCTCTACTGCCCCAATAAGGGACTTTACATATATGTA